TACACACATCACACACACAATATTTTGTGAGGCCTTTTGAACCCAGATTAGTTGGTTATGTGGGTTTTCTTGTGGTTTCCTTAACACCACTGGGTCCTACAATCTTTCTCCATCTTCGGCAGGATTCCCTGAGGTCTGTTTAATGTTTGACTTAGGGTCTCTGTATCTGTTTCCATAAGTTGCTGGGTGAAGCCTCTCTGGTGACAGTTGGGGTAGCATATCAATTTCTCTGGGTTTGGAGTTGGTCTTGGCAGAAGAGATTTGGGAGTGGGCAGGAGCTTCTCTTAAAGGCGTCTTTGCACATGTGTGGCAGCCATAGGCCCCTGGGCTGGCTAGGGTACTGACTGGGTTCATCCTGCCAGGTGACAGGGCAGGCCAGCATAATCCTATCACCTTCCCCACTGGGTTACTGGGATGGTGCCTTAGGTGGTTCCTTCTACAGTACTTAAGGTGGGCCTAGGCTAGAGGAGGTATGCGAGAGGGTTAGATAAACCAGGGATTTGATTTGAAATGAAGTGTATCAGGGCTGAGGAGCTGGCTCACATGATAAAGCCCTTGCTGTGAAAATATCCCCAGAATCCACATGAAACCAGCGGTGGTAGTGCACATCTGCAATCCAGTACTCCTAGTCCAAGACGAGATGTGGAGACAGAAGAATACCTAAAAGCTCATTGGCCAGCTAGCTTACTGTCCACCACAACAAACAACAAAGGGACCATGTTTCATACAGGGTAGTGGATGAGAAACAATGCGTAAGGTGTTCCTCTGACCCCCATATGTGCACCACAATACACACACACCTTCACTTATACACACACACAAATGTGCACATCCATGCACACACATCATACATACACACATGCTAAAATTATACTACAATAAAATTATACTAAGATAAAACATTAATAGGAAATTGGAGGTGTGGTCAGGTCATCACAGGTAGTAGGTGTAGCATGTGAGATGGTAGCCCAAGAGAAGAGACATGAATGAAAGAGGTGGATGGTTCTAGATTTCATGCACCCTAGGGACCACAGTTCCCATAGGGGCATGAAAGCCATGTATGTCAAAGCATCAAATGAACAGATTAAATTCCTGGTTGATACAAGATTTTATTGGATCTCAGTGTTTATCTGTGATGTCTTCTTACCAGTTGAGAAATTGAGATTCACAGGGTCATGAGTACTCCTAACATCACCTTAGTCTATCTGGGGCTCCTGAACCCAGAGCTGGTGTTTGGCTACCAGAACATTAACAGCCTAGAATCTGTTTAGATTTTATCTTCTCTCTATATCCGTGACACTGTGAGAAGCCAAGAGCTGGGTATAAAGCCAGATTTAGAGTAGGGCATGATTTGCTGCTGGTTACCCCATTCCCATCTTAGGAGGATTACATAAGCTGTTGGCAAGTTCGTGTTGTCCTTCTGTTACAATCACCTAGTAAATTCGTTTGAGAAACAATCTAAAGGAATGGGACGCCCTCTAGCACACAGAGATTGCTCAAGATGTTGGTCTGTGCGCATTCCACACGATCTAAGTGGGAACTACTCTAGGTGGCCTTGATCATAGCTCCCGCCTTAGCCAAACTTTTTTTTTTTTTTTTGGTGAGGGCCTCTTGTCTTTTAAGAACTAGAATAAATTTTATGCAGTTATATAAAAGTATTTTTTAAAAAAACAAAGAAGAAAGCAAAGAATGTAATTTGGAGAAAAAACTCAACCATTTCTGCAGGAAGTCCAGGGAAAAATCCTGCAGGAAGTCCAGGGACAGACCTGCCAGAAGTGCCACCATGGGCAGTGTCCAAGACAGGCAGAGTGCAGGGCTGGACTGGCCTGGCTCTCCACAGCCACATTCAAGGCATTCACAAAACCACTAAGGCAAAGCAGTATTAGCAGAGATGGATCCAATGTGCTATTTAACAGAAAAGCCACTAGCCAAACTTTTTGTGCTGAGTTTAGTTTCTACCCATTCTATCTCGGGGCGGGATTGGTGCTGGCCTCATGGAGGCCAAAACCAAGATCTGTTCAGACTCTCCACTTCCCTGAAGCTCTCAGCATCTTTACCACCCTGTTCCACTTCTCCCTGCACTTCTTCAGGGCTGCACCTCGTCCTGATGTCCTAACATAGAAATTCTTAGCCCCAGATGAGGCCATCTGCGCCTTCACAGCCCTTCCTCCTGTCACCTCACGGTGGCCCCTGCAGAGTAATCACAGGCGCAGGTCCCACCACATGCGCTGACCTTCACTTACCTCGTAGTGATTTCCGTTTTAATAGCTTCTGACTTATGACATCGTCTTAGGACAGCTTACCTGCTTCTTCACAGCACCTGCCTCGAACTGATACCACATCTTCTTCCTTTCCCCTGACCTCCACACTGGACAGGGATCTTTTCTCATTTGTATCTCCGCATTTATTTACAATGTTTCCTCCTCATTATAAAAGTAGTCACACTACCATCATCCACAGGCATCCTTATACGTAAGTCATCCAGAGAATACCTCTCTAGGTGGCTTGATGATAGTTAACAACCAGGACAGGAAGGAAGCATTGGATTTAATCACCTGAATCATAGCTTTGTAGCCAAATTTACATAAAGATTTCCCGGTGTTAATGGCTGTTCTTCTTCATATAAATATATGTTAGACTTACAATGGGGTTATGTCCTGACAACCCAATAATCATAAAGCATGTCACCAAAACACAATTTAAGAATATATAAATGTCTTCCAAAAATTAAGTTAGTATTTTCTGATAATTAACAGAAAACGACAGCAAGAGACAATTTAGATTTCCACAGTATTCTACTTCTTGATGCCATGTGTCCCAGATCCTGTTCTGGTCACTGTTTTCAGCACAGAGATTGAATAAAATGGGTTATTCTTCTGTTAGAGGGAATCCTGGAATCGTTTTCTATTCTGTCACACAATCACGTGAAGATGTAATTGATCATGAGAAGGTGTGTAAAGGCACCCTGTCTCCTGAAGGAGAGACACGGATGATCATGAAAAGGTGTGTAAAGATACCCTGCCTCCTGAAGGAGACACAGTTGATCATGAGAAAGTGTGTAAGGGTGCCTTGCCTCCTGAAGGAGACACAGTTGATCATGAGAAAGTGTGTAAGGGTGCCTGGCCTCCTGAAGGAGGGTCCGGCTGATTCCCTCAGTTCCCCACAGTAACTGAAGTGGGACAACAGAAGAAGCAGAGAGATGAGAAAGATGAGATGCCCACTGTAAAAATGAGGGTAGTGGGGTGTATAGAAGGTCCTACTCCGGATGACCTAGCTCGGAGTCCAGGAAGGAATGTCTAGGACTCGTTTTCTTCACTCTACAATTGCTCTGCTTATTTGTCCCCTGGGTAAGAGGCAAGCCTGGAGCATGCAGCCCTCCTTTACAGCCACCTGCTCACTCCCGTGCATGATGAGACACAAAGCTGGAGAAGGGAGTTCGGAAGTCTTGCTGTTTTCAAAACTGGCTCACTAGGGAACTAACCTTAGCCCGGTGAGCTCAACACCCCCAAGGGCAGAGGACCCAGTGTCTCAATGCCATTTCCCAGGACCTCACATTTTACAGGATCTGTTGCTCCATGATCCTTTCACATGTGCACATCCAAACTGTAACATCTTCCAGGTCAAAGATGCCAGGACCCCCGCTCCAGTAATGGCTTGCATCTTAGAGGCCTCTTCTAGGCTCCTTCTCAATGTATCCTGGTCCTTCAGTCATGGACCTCGCCTGTCAATTAATTCTCCACTCGCTACACTTGCTTCTGGGCAGATTTGTGCGTTGTTCTCTCTGCTGGCCCAAACTTATGTAACAGTTTCAAAGCCTGTTTTGGAGAGTGTTCACAGTGCTCTCAGAAGTAGACTGAGTCACGCCAAGCTTCTGCTATTTCAGGCAGAGAGAACAGAACAAAACCTCCCTCCTTTTCCTGCAACTGCTGAGCAGGTGCTGGCCATCCCACCTCCTGTTTGCTCAACATAAAAGCCGTGGGAACATTTGGGACTCCTATTTTTTTAACACTCAACATCTAATCAACCAACCAGTCCTTTTGACTCCACCTTCCAAACAAACTCTGTCCCCTTCTCATCTGCTCCCTGCTCCACTCTAACCAGAGTCTTACAGTTTGGACTGGATTATTGTTATAGCCACTGTTCTGCTTTGTTTTTAGTACAGCTGTTACTTTTAAAGCATGTATTTTCTACAGAGCAGCCAGAGCGCTGTGAGAGACACAGGCTGAATCATATCTTGTTTCTGCAGACAGCTCCCACTTACTTTCAACGATAAAGAACTTACCAAGGCTCGCAGCACCTGCTCTGCCTGTGGCTGCTCCTACCTACCCTCACCCCTCTGATCCCAGAGGTCTTTACACCTGCTGCTTCTTTTAACGGGAATAATATTTTACGATAGTCATAAGCCTACATGCTCATTTATTTAGGTCCCTATTAATAACCTCTACTTCGAAAAAGCCTCTCTTGGTCCTGCAATAGGAAAATATCACCCGCGGTCCCCATCCCTGCATCTTTTGTAAGCTGGTTTTGTCTTCAAATCCCTTTCATCACTTGATACTAAAATTTCTTCACTCCTGTTTCCTGTCCTCTGCAGTGTGAACTGAATACACTAAGAAGCTGAAGTGGGTTTGTCTGTCATGTTTCCTCACTAACTCTTAGGCTACGCAGTTTCTGGAAGATGAGCGGAGAGTCCCGGACAGAACATTTCTAGAGAGATGTGAGGTGGTGAAGACATGTGTCGGGAATTCAGGACTCAGCTTGTTTCACTAAGAGCCCCCGCCTCTCTCTCACTCTGAGAGTTCAGCCAGGATGTATCTACCTTCACCCTGTTTCCTTGCAGCACAGGAGATAAACACAGCCTGGGGAACTGGGGTCATTTGGACTAGGTGGCTGCACCACACTGAGTCCAGGACAACATTGCCAACTTTGGAGGAGACCCAGTCTCTGGGACAATCTTCGGAGAGTCAGCGGGAGGTGAAAGTGTCTCTGTTCTTGTAAGTGTCCCGGTACCAGGCCTTATCCAGGCATGATAGCAGCTGCTAAGGTCCTTTGGAGATGAGTCAGTATAGTCGTGGGAACTTAACTTTCAGTATATGGATTCAGGTTGATTCTTTTATTTCTCAGCATTAGACAGTGGAACACTAAAGCCAAACCCTCCTTGGCCCCTGGGACGTGCTTGTATGCCCCACCATAAAAAGTACCTGCTGTGTATTATCTCTCTCCTCACTTAATTGGATTCTCTTTCTCTTTTCACACTAGGGTAGAATCCATGGTTGGCAAGGAGCTTTGGGAGTAAACCGCAGGTTGTAAGGGGAAGGGTGTGCATGCAGCAGAGCAGGTTCACTGTTTGGCTCCAGTCTAGATGTACACAGAGGGAACTGGAGCACTGGGAGCTTTCAGGGGGTCTTCTGAGATGGACTCCTGGCTTTGAAAACCCACTAAGAAGGTCAGCAGTATCTGGGACTGAGGGTCCAGCTGGGAAAGTGGAGATGGCTGTGAGGAAGGATGAACAGACATTGTAACAGGGAGAGGCGGACAGAGGATGTAGGTCACAGACATGTTCTGATGGCCTGGGGAGTCTTCTTGGCGTGGAGATGAGGAGCAGGAGGCACCGAGGAAATCTATGGAGACTTCTGGGCATCATGAGTGGTCCTCCAGCTCCCTGAAATTGGACAGAGTGTCACCTCATCACCGTATTTTCAAATGTATTTTCACCAGCTAAATATTTAGAGGAGAATGGTTTTATTTTCCTTAGAGATAAGGAAAACTGCGGATAAACCCAAGGAGGATATTGTGATATGTATTTCCATAATATTCCCACAAATTTTTATCAGTCTCTGCATGCATCTATCATCTGGCTTCTGTCTACCTGCTATCCATCACCTCTCCTTACATCCAGTTTGTGTGTGTGTGTGTGTGTTCTTGTTTCTCTTTTTCTTATGTGTGTCATATAACTCTTTTCAACTTTCCAATTTAGTTTGATTCTATTATGATTTTCCATACATAACATTATTAGCCTTCTAATATTATTGAGATTGTTTTTATCTCTCTCTTTTACAATGAAAAGTCAAATGTCACAAAACACACAATAAAAGTATGATAAAAGTTATATAGCAATGCCCTAATTCCTTCAAAATTTAATATGTGGTAGTCTTGTTTCCAAATGTATTTCAATAATTTAAAATTCTACATTCCCACTTTACCGTTCTGAACATTGAGGATGGAGACAGTATATACAGAGATTTTATTTTTAACTTTTATTTTTCTTACCTTGGCTGATTATAGGCTATCTAAATTATAACAGCTACTACCTACTTTTCTGTTTTCAGAGACTACTTCTTTGAAGAGTCAAAGATAACTAACTACCTGTCCATTTATTGCCTTCCGTCTATCCATCCCTCCATCCAATTCACTGAAACCATTCTCTTGGTCTAGTATAGAGCCACCAGAACTTGTCAATAACTTTCAATTTGATCATAATCTATGAGCCAGTCAGTCAGCATCTATAACTTTTTACCCAATCATCTAAGTAGTTGTTGGTGAATCTTTACAACTCACCGATAGTTCTATATATCGGCCACCTGCATCCACTAATTTTGGAAACAGTGTCTGGGTAGGAGATGCAAGAATAAACTAAACATTCTCTCTGCTTACCAGGACAATCCAAAAAGAAAACAATTACATACCAAATGGGTTATGTGCATTGGGAATACAGAGAGGAGATGTATTCATTAGAGTCAGCCTGCTCAGAAAAAGTGACATTTGAGGACTGACTGAGCTTTTAGTAGTTTATTATCACATGGAACCTCATAAGGCATATACTTGAAAAATAAAGGATATAGGGATGTGGTAACTATTCCCTTTGTAAGGATAAGTACAGATGATGTCTTAGGACTCAGAGCCTTTTCTCTTCATAAGGACATTGTACACTAGAGTACACTCCTGGATCCCCATAGACTACCTCTAGCATTCTGTTCTTGTATATTCAGGAGTTGAGTCTAACATGACCTTGGGTATCATATTCTAGCTCATCAAGATCAAAATATAATGAAGTTCAAACATTTCAGAGGTAAGAACAGCTGCTTTCTTTTTCTCTTTGGATTTATGAAATGCCCTCACTATGTGCCTGTCTGACCCCTCAATTCTCCTGTTTCACCATCTTCAGTGGTGGGATTATAGGTTTCCTCTTTGATATCTGTTTCACAGATGTGTTCGTATGTATACCCAGAATGGAAAAATATTTCTTCCATCCATAGGAATTCCCATCACATACAAGATTACTTTCTATCTTTAGGAAACTCCAGATAACCTAAGATCACATGACATATTTCTAAAAAATTTCTAAGATGATGCCAGAAGAAGAAGAAGAAGAAGAAGAAGAAGAAGAAGAAGAAGAAGAAGAAGAAGAAGAAGAAGAAGAAAAAGAAGAAGAAGAAGAAGAAGAAGAAGAAGAAGAA